GTACCTGTATCCTATGTTTAAGTAGCACTGCAATCTCTTGGTTGGCTGCCACCTAATCCTGAAGGTGCCTAAACTTGGTGCCTAAATTTCCAGTGTAAAAGTTCCCTTAGTGCCTATGTTTCTGCCTCTGCCTTGCTCTAAGAATCTGGACACCTATTTCCTGCCTCAGCCCCACAGTGATCTATGACTAGCAGAGAGACAGGCACTTCTCTGCCTGTCTTATCTGGTGGGCATGCTCAGAGGCTGCTCTCTGGATCAGACCCCACTCAAAATGTGGAGGAGCTGCCCATCTTATAACTTTTAGCCCAATGGTTAGAGGACTCAACTGGGATGTGGGAGACCTACATTCAGTTTCCTCTGGAGCCTGGGGGAAGAAAGGATTTGAACAGGGGGGTCTCCCACACCCTTCAGGAATGTGCTTCAACCACTGAGCTGTGGGATATTCCTCAGTGGATGGTGGGTCATCCTCAGTCTCTTCTGTTGAAGCTGTGGATAACTATGAAAGAGTCATTGGAGCAGGGGCACTGACCCCTGGGTCTCCCATCTCTCACGTGGGTCCCGCTTGAACCCCCATGCTAGAGAGTCATTCTTGCTCTCTCTTGGTGTCTCAGTGACTAAGTCAGTGGTGGGCAACCTGTGGCCCGTCAGGTTAATCTTCTGGTGGGCTGCGAGACGATGAAGTGAGCTGTAGCTCACGAAAGCTTATGCTCAAATAAATTGGTTAGTCTCTAAGGTGCCACAAGTACTCCTTTTCTTTTTGTGAATACAGACTAACACGGCTGTTACTCTGTAACCTGTTTATGTCCCTGCGGCCCTCCGCTTCCTGCAGCTCCCATTGGCCGGGAATGGCAAACCGAGGCCACTGGGAGCTGCAGGCAGCCATGCCTGCGGACTGTCAATGTAAACACTGTCTTGGGGCCTGCCAGCAGATTACCCTGACGGGCGGCAGGTTGCCCACCACTGCTCTAAGTACTTATCCACCATGGAACAGCTTCAACATGAGATACCGAGGAAGCCCCACATCAGAATATCCCATAGCCCAATGGTTAGAGTGCTCTCCTGGGAGCTGTGGGAGACCCCTTCAAAGTGAAGTGCCCTGTTAACACCCCTCCAATCATAGGGGGGGAGGAAGGGAGAGGGAAGGCAACTTGGGGGGGGGAGGAATTGTTCGTGGGTTACAAGCTGTTGTAATAACTTGCTAACACCCCCCACTCCCGCCTTCCCTGGCTGACCTTCCTTTAACACCCTCCAATCATGGGGGGGATGGGCCACTTCACCTTCTACTTTCCATTTACTGTGACACTCCGAGGCCATGTCTACACTTCCACCTATGTCGGTAAAACGTATGTTGCTCAGGTGTGAATATTCCACCCCACTGAGCGACATGAGGGACACCAAGATAAGAGCGCTGTGCACACGAGCAATGCGAGCAGGAAAGCTCTCTCCTGTCGGAAGAGCGGGTCTTCCCCACCAGCGCTGTAGCAATGCACCTGTATTGGTGTAGCCATGCGGCTGCAGCACCGTACGTGTAGACAGGTCTGAGTGTTTTCCAGACCTGCAGCGGAGCTCTGTGTGGCTCAAAAGCTTGTCACTCTCATCAGCAGAAGTTAGTTCAGTACAAGATATTCCCTTACCCACCTGATCGCCCTGCTATCCTGTGCCTGACAGGGCTAAAACAACGTTGCCCAAGCTCCCAGAGACTTCCTGTTGGTGGAGCAAGGAATTCAGCTCAGGTTTCCCAAGGCCCAGGCTAGTGTCCAAACTCGGGGCTCATTCCTCCTCTCAAGTAATAGATGGGGTGGGTGGAGAAAGAACTGTGTGTAGGGGGCGTTGAGACGCTCCTGGGCTAATCCAAGGACAGATGGAGGAGGAGGGTAGCACATGTGGAGGGAGGGTAGGGGATGTTTGGGGAGCACAGGGACATGGGGTACAAAAGGCTGTGGGGGAGGGTGAGTGTGTGGGGGGAGGGGATGTGGGGGGAGCAGAGGGCTGTGGGGGGAGGGGTGTGGGTGGGGAAAGGGGATGTGTGGGGAGCACAGGGATATTGGGTGCAGAAGGCTGCAGGTTGTTACAAGAGGCAATGTGCGGGGAGCACAGGGAGATGGGGTGCAGAAGGCTGTGGGGGAGGGGTGCAGGGGGGAGAGGCGATGGGCGGGGAGCACAGGGGGATGGGGTGCAGAAGGCTGTGGGGGAGGGGTGCAGGGGGGAGAGGCGATGGGCGGGGAGCACAGGGGGATGGGGTGCAGAAGGCTGTGGGGGAGGGGTGCAGGGGGGAGAGGCGATGTGCGGGGAGCACAGGGAGATGGGGTGCAGAAGGCTGTGGGGGGAGGGGTGCAGGGGGAGAGGCGATGTGCGGGGAGCACAGGGGGATGGGGTGCAGAAGGCTGTGGGGGGAGGGGTGCAGGGGGAGAGGCGATGTGCGGGGAGCACAGGGGGATGGGGTGCAGAAGGCTGTGGGGGAGGGGTGCAGGGGGAGAGGCGATGTGCGGGGAGCAAAGGGGGATGGGGTGCAGAAGGCTGTGCGGGAGGGGTGCAGGGGGAGAGGCGATGTGCGGGGAGCACAGGGGGATGGGGTGCAGAAGGCTGTGCGGGAGGGGTGCAGGGGGGGGGGGGGGGGGGGGGGGGGGGGGGGGGGGGGGGGGAGAGGCGATGTGCGGGGAGCACAGGGAGATGGGGTGCAGAAGGCTGTGGGGGAGGGGTGCAGGGGGAGAGGCGATGGGCGGGGAGCACAGGGGGATGGGGTGCAGAAGGCTGTGGGGGAGGGGTGCAGGGGGAGAGGCGATGTGCGGGGGAGGGGGGAGCACAGGGGGATGGGGTGCAGAAGGCTGTGGGGGGAGGGGTGCGGGGGGAGAGGCGATGTGCGGGGAGCACAGGGGGAGGGGTGCAGGGGGAGAGGCGATGTGCGGGGAGCACGGGGGGATGGGGTGCAGAAGGCTGTGCGGGAGGGGTGCAGGGGGAGAGGCGATGTGCGGGGAGCACAGGGGGATGGGGTGCAGAAGGCTGTGCGGGAGGGGTGCAGGGGGAGAGGCGATGTGCGGGGAGCACAGGGGGATGGGGTGCAGAAGGCTGTGGGGGAGGGGTGCAGGGGGAGAGGCGATGTGCGGGGAGCACAGGGGGGATGGGGTGCAGAGGGCTGTGCGGGAGGGGTGCAGGGGGAGAGGCGATGTGCGGGGAGCACAGGGGGATGGGGTGCAGAGGGCTGTGGGGGAGGGGGTGCAGGGGGAGAGGCGATGTGCGGGGAGCACAGGGGGATGGGGTGCAGAGGGCTGTGGGGGAGGGGTGCAGGGGGAGAGGCGATGTGCGGGGAGCACAGGGGGATGGGGTGCAGAGGGCTGTGGGGGGAGGGGTGCAGGGGGAGAGGCGATGTGCGGGGAGCACAGGGGGATGGGGTGCAGAGGGCTGTGGGGGAGGGGGGTGCGGGGAGGGGAGAGGCGATGTGCGGGGAGCACAGGGGGATGGGGTGCAGAGGGCTGTGGGGGGAGGGGTGCAGGGGGAGAGGCGATGTGCGGGGAGCACAGGGGGATGGGGTGCAGAGGGCTGTGGGGGGAGGGGTGCAGGGGGAGAGGCGATGTGCGGGGAGCACAGGGGGATGGGGTGCAGAGGGCTGTGGGGGGAGGGGTGCAGGGGGAGAGGCGATGTGCGGGGAGCACGGGGGGATGGGGTGCAGAGGGCTGTGGGGGAGGGGTGCAGGGGGAGAGGCGATGTGCGGGGAGCACGGGGGGATGGGGTGCAGAAGGCTGTGGGGGAGGGGTGCGGGGGGGGGGAGAGGCGATGTGCGGGGAGCACGGGGGGATGGGGTGCAGAAGGCTGTGGGGGAGGGGTGCAGGGGGAGAGGGGGGGGGGGGGGGGGGGGGGGGGGGGGCGATGTGCGGGGAGCACGGGGGGATGGGGTGCAGAAGGCTGTGGGGGAGGGGTGCGGGGGGAGAGGCGATGTGCGGGGAGCACGGGGGGATGGGGTGCAGAAGGCTGTGGGGGGAGGGGTGCGGGGGGAGGGGGGGCGATGTGCGGGGTTTCACGGGGGGATGGGGTGCAGAAGGCTGTGGGGGGAGGGGTGCGGGGGGGGAGAGGCGATGTGCGGGGAGCACGGGGGGATGGGGTGCAGAAGGCTGTGGGGGAGGGGTGCGGGGGAGAGGCGATGTGCGGGGAGCGGGGGGATGGGGGAGCATGGGGGAGGGTGCAGGGGGGGAGGGGGAGGCGATGTGCGGGGAGCACAGGGGGGATGGGGTGCAGAAGGCTGTGGGGGAGGGGTGCAGGGGGAGAGGCGATGTGCGGGGAGCACGGGGAGATGGGGTGCAGAAGGCTGTGGGGGAGGGGTGCAGGGGGAGAGGCGATGTGCGGGGAGCACGGGAGGATGGGGTGCAGAAGGCTGTGGGGGAGGGGTGCGGGGGGAGAGGCGATGTGCGGGGAGCACGGGGGGATGGGGTGCAGAAGGCTGTGGGGGAGGGGTGCGGGGGAGGGGGGGGAGAGGCGATGTGCGGGGAGCACGGGGGGATGGGGTGCAGAAGGCTGTGGGGGAGGGGTGCGGGGGGAGAGGCGATGTGCGGGGAGCACGGGGGGATGGGGTGCAGAAGGCTGTGGGGGAGGGGTGCGGGGGGAGAGGCGATGTGCGGGGAGCACGGGGGGATGGGGTGCAGAAGGCTGTGGGGGAGGGGTGGGGGGGGGGGGGGGGGGGGGGGGGGGGGGGGGGGGGGGGGGGGGGGGGGGGAGAGGCGATGTGCGGGGAGCACGGGGGGATGGGGTGCAGAAGGCTGTGCGGGAGGGGTGCGGGGGGAGAGGCGATGTGCGGGGAGCACAGGGGGATGGGGTGCAGGTTGCTCGGGGGAGGGCTGGAGCGCTGGGGGTCGCAGGCGGGCTGGGGTCGGGGTCACAGGTCGGGACGCCCCAGGGCGGGCTGGTGCCCCACGTGTTCAGTCCCGGGAGGGACTTTGTCCCCCCCCCGCGGAGCTACCTGCGCCAGGGGCGTTGCGCGGCGACGTCACGGGGCCACCTGGCGGGGCGGGGCCCGGGGCGGCTGCGGGAGGCCGGAGCGGGCTGCAGCGGCGGCCGGAAGAAAGCGGGACCCGGGCGGCCGAGAATGGGGCCGGGGCTCGGGCTCTTGCTCCTGCTGCTGGGGGCTGCCGCGCGCTCCGCCGTGCCCCGCACAGAGAGACCCTTCCCGGGTAAGGGCGGGCGGGGGCTGCCGGGCGGGGGTGCCCATCTCCCCGGCGGGGGGGGGGGCATTTCCGTCTCCCCGGGGTCCCGGCGGGGGGCGGGGGGCAGGGGTCCCGGCGGGGGGAGGGGCATTTCCGTCTCCCCGGGGTCCCGGCGGGGGGGGCGAGGGGCATTTCCGTCTCCCTGGGGTCCCGGCGGGGGGGGCCCTATCGCGCCGGGTGCTGCTGCCCGACCCCGGTAGCCAGCTGCCCGCCCGGGCGTGGCTGCCTCCTGCGGGGGGGGCCGAGCCGGGCTGAGCCGGGGGCTGCCGAGCCGGGCGGGGCCGAGCCGGGCAGCCTGGGGACCGGCGGGCGGGGGCCGAGCGGCGGCCGCTGCGCAGCGGAGCCGGGCGGGCGGGGAGCCGGGCGCCCGCCCCGCCCGCAGACCCTCGCCGGGGGGCCCCGCCCGCAGACCCTCGCCGGGGCCGGCCCCGCCCGCAGACTCGCCGGGCGCCCGCCCCGCCCGCAGACCCTCGCCGGCCGGTCCCCGGCCTCGCCCGCTCGCCCTGGGCACTGGCTGGATGATGTCACCCGCCGCCAGGGCAGCAGCCCCCAGCGATGCCGAGCCCCGGCCTGCGGGTTTGCTGCCGGGCGTGCCGGCGGCTCGGCAGGCTGCGGCATCCGCCGCGGGTCGGGGTCGGGGTCTGTCCGGGGCGGGCTGCTCGGAGCGAGGCCCCCCGGCTCCGGCCGGGCGCGCTCTGCGGGGTGCCCGAGCGAGTGGGGCTGTCTAGGCTCCTGCCCCCTCCGCTGCGGATCAGCTGGTGTCGCGGGGAGCTGCATGGACAGCGGCTTTTGACAAAGGCCAGGTCGTCTTAGAATCGTGTTAGAGGATCGTGATTTAGGTTAAAAACGAAGCACTCGCAAGTAAAAGCCCTAATGTTGTTGTACCAATAAAATAAAAACCAGCAGGATCTTATTAAAGGGAAAAAGGCAAAATACCACATTTATTGTGAATACAGAAAGAATCATAGTAAGCAGTTAGTTATAGCTATAACATTCCATTCAATCTCGTATTTAGTCACTCATTCATTCATACAAACATACACACACACACACAGGTTCTGCAAGGTTGTTATCATAGTTACCAGCCTTAGAGTTGCTCACGCCAAGCCACTGGCCAGGTGGCCTGGACATGAGAAGGGAGCAGGGCCTTGTCAGATGCTCATCTGATGCTCCTGGAAGTTGGTTTGCAGAATCAGACCCCAAAGTTCTCACTTTTTAGAGTCTATTTTTATAGGAATTTCTTCCTATGCCAGTCTATGGGAATTGCTTCATCATGCTGTTGCTGAATCAATCAGCAGATAGCACATTCCTGAGGGCTCCAAGATGTTATCTTGTTCTTTGGTTCTCCCATTCTTGAGGCTGTTGGGTGGATTCCAGTCTGCCCTCCGGGGGGTCCTCTGGTTATTTCCTCTTGACGCCTTCTTCAGCCGATGGACACTGGATTCTTAGGCTGGCACCTCCCTGATCATTCAGTTATTATCCACACCAAGCAGCCATCCACATACATCCTCTATCTCTCTATTTTAATCACAATTGTTAATACAACAAAAGGGTGGGGAGTCTCTGGGTGCTGTTTCTGTTGTTAGAGTATTGCTTTGAGTCTCTCTCTCTGTGAATTGCTTTGAGAATAGACTCTGTCTTAGAATGTACTAACACAATTAGCAGCTTGCAAGTTTCACACATAGAGGGAGAGAAACAGTACCAAAAACCAAGAGACCTCTTAATTAGTAATACCCTGGAATTTAAACTCTGGGGAATCAAACTCATTTGTGATTTTAATACAGAACTTCTTTAATATGATCCAACAATGTGGCCCCGCGTTGTGATACAGCCTGTGTGTGGCCAGACGTTATTTCGCAGGACCCTTGACACATTCAGTGAGGGGGCCTAAGGAGGCAAATTAAGGTTGGGCAGGAAAACAAATCTGGCATTTCTAACCGTTGGATGCTTCGCTTTGCAGCCGTAATATTCTTTTAAGGGAGCTTTTTAAAACAGAGCTTCCGGGCCTTTCTTCAGGAACTGGAAAAATCAAACCCTAATTCAGCCACCTGGCTAATCAGCAACGTTAGAACCGTTGGATCCACAGCACCTGCGTATCACTTGAGCTAAGGGGGTAGCTGAAGCCAGTGGCAGGTTGTCCCCCTCTACGTGGGCCAGACAGTACAGGGAGAGGGGGCATGGATTCTTGGCAGTGGGCTTCACAGCTATTTGGCAACAGCAGAAGAACCTTGAGATTCAGTTGAGGCTTCTGTCCCTGGTTCTGAGGGGAGTGTGCTATAGTGGTTACCAACCCACCCTGCCTTCCAGCCTGTCCTTGTCTTATTGAATTTATTCAATTCAAGTCTTTTTACAGTGGTAGCCACAGTTTATACTGAGTACAATACTCCTGGTTGTGTTTCTTGCTCCACTTGTGTTTAGCGGTGATTTTTTTTTTTCTTGGTTTGGGTGGATAACTGGGAGAAATGATCTGTAGCCTTGTATCATCTATGGTAGAGGTTGAAAGCCACTCCAGACTACTGTACCCCTTTCAGAAGTTTGATTTGTCTTGCATATCCCCAAGTTTCACCTCACTTAAAAACTATTTGTTTACAAAATCAGGCATAAAAATACAAGAGTGTCACAGCCCACTAGTACTGAAAACTTGCTGACTTTCTCATTTTTACCATATGATTATAAAATAAAGCAATTGGAATATAAGTATTGTACCTACATTTCAGTGTATAGTATATAGAGCAGTATAAAAAACTCATTGAATGAAATTTTAGTTTGTACTGACTTTGCTAGTGCTTTTTATGTTGCCTGTTGTAAAACTAGGCAAATATCTAGATGAGTTGATGTACCCCCTAGAAGACCTCTGTGTACCCCCAGGGGCACATGTACCCCTGGTTGAGACTACTAACCTATGGGTTCCTTGGAGGCTGAAATAAATGCACATCCCTTGCTGCTGGCCTCTTAGCCCTTGTCTTCATTAGGAAAAAGCGTGTTCTTTCTTTGTTAGCTAATGTGGTAACTAAAAGGGGCAAAATGCTAATAGAGACCAGGAGGTTGTAGCTTTAACATGAGTTATTAGCAAATCAAGGTAAGTCCTAGGCTCTCCCAGTGTCTTTATCTTAACCGTCTAACGCATGTGAAATGTCGTAACAGAAAGGTACAATCTGCCTTGGTTTCCCTAGGAAGTTACCACATATTAAGTAAGCAGTTCCTATGATTGGGATAGACTTTATTTGGAGACTTCTGTTTGTCAGTATAAATGCATTGTGTTAATGGAAGTAAATAAGCTATGCCTACTGGCTTATAATCGCCGCCATTTCCTGTAGCGTTCATTATGTCGTCTTAACACTCTCCCCCATCAGTGTGATCTACATTAACTCTACCTAAGTAGTACACCCTTCAGAAGAGTGATCTCCTCAGGACCTGTTATAGGGCTGGGGCTCTGCATGGTCCCAGCTATATGTATTTTACTACTAATGTGTGGAAATGATTTCTGAGCCAGACAGTTTCATGTGTGTAGTCGTGATGGGATATGACTGCCCTTTTATAGCATCCTTTGTCCATGGCTTAAATTGATTAATTTACTGCATGTTTAGTATCAGATTATATAATTATTGTAGAAATACCAGCCCTGCAGTAAGACTCAGGAACCAGGATCCTACTTAAGCTGCTGCCTCATTTGCGTGAGGCTGGTTTTAGAATATTGATTTTTTTTGTGTGTGTGTGCAAAGCCCATTGTTTGCTTGGCCCCATTCTTTCTGATGAATATCTGTGCAGAGTGACTTATACTTCTAGAGGAAGGGTTGTAAATGCATTAGCTAGCTGAAGGAGAAAGCATGTAGCTGTATCAGACCCTGTGAAATGGAAAAGGTGGTAGAGGTAATGGCTTTTATTGGGCATACACAGGAGTTCAGATATAAAAGTAGGGGAACTCCAGGCCACGGCGGAAATCCAGTTATGTCAAATGTTTCCTGACTGTGACCGATTAGATTGAGTGGAGAATATAGTGTCCTACATTGCTTCGTTGTAGCTGTAGCTAATTTTATAAATCTTTGAAATGAGAAAATATGGATACCTGGGAAGGTTTACTTATAGGAACATCTGTGTGTCTAAAGGCACTGAGCCAGGGAAGTTGGAATCCCACCTTTAAAACTCCCTTTTAAATGCTGCTTCTGCATGGGGGCGAGCAAGAATAAATGCACATAAAATGGCATTTTTGCCTTCTATGGGAAGGAGCTGATGTGGGTGCGCTGGCTAAAAGTTTTGCCTCTGGCTCCAACAGGACTAAAGGTTCGGGCCAATGTGCTGTAGGCAGTGAGGCAATGGCATAGGCACCAGCTTTCTAATTTCCCCGGGGTGCTCGACGCTCTGCCCCAGACCCCACCCCACTTCACCCCTTCCCTCAAGGCCTCACTCCTGCTGCTCTCATCAGGCCTCAAGCCAGCACTGCCTGGACTTGGCAGCGTGCTTTCCCCCAGACTAGCCGTAAGGTGTTGGGCTGGAAATCTCTCCATGAAATCTGAGACAAGTAACATAAGAACGTAGATCTGGCAAGGACTTCCTGGATCATTGAGTCCAGTCCCCTGCTGTCACAGGCAACCCTGTCAGATAGCACTGTTCATAAATTTATCAAGCTCCATCTTAAAAGGAGTTGGGTTGTTTGCCCCGACCCCTCCTATTGGGAAGCTGTTCCAGAACCTCCCATCTCTGATAGTAAGAAACCATCTCCAAATTTTCATCCTAAGTTTACTCTCGCACCAACACTGTCCTTCATCTTCAATAGCTTTTCTCCCTCCCTTGTGTTTACCCCTTGATGTATTTATAGAGAGCAATCAGATCCCCTCGCAGCCTTCATTTTGCTCTGCTAAACAAGTCAATTGTTTTTAGTATCTCCTTGTAAGATAGGTGGTTCTTTTCTCTTGTCACTGGAGAGCAAAACAGCATCAGAATTCAGAGTAGTAGCCGTGTTAGTCTGT